AAATCAACAGTGAACAGTCACTGGGATCAAAAACGACCCCTCTCCTCCATCATTGAGGAATCTTCAGGGATAGCTCTCCTCACCACCTCTTCTCTCCGAGGAATTCGGTCCTATATCTAGCAGTCATGAAGTGGGGTCAAGGGCTAAATTAAAGGCTATAAGACTGATTTAGCTGACGTACTAGGAACATTATCAATTGATGAAGAAAATCTCCCTTCCTGGGGAAATTCATTCCTCCTGCTCCCACACGACTTTCATAGAAGAGCTTGTTTGGTTCCCTAGCCATTGGACTCGGGCCAAGTCTCCTTGTTTTGCTGGCTTTTTCACCTGAGCGGTAACTTCCAAAGATTTCATCGGCCGTTTTGTTTTTCAGTAGCAGTCACTACTACAACGAAATGATTCCCTTTTCAAAAAAGCAGCGCTAGACAACAGTCGGAGGAGTTCCGTGGTGCGACTGGGCCACATTTATGGATCATTCCGATGTGCTCTGATTGCGGTCCGAAGCTCGTTCGTAAGAACGCTGCCGCCAATCCGTCGTAAAGTGAACACTAAAGCGCAGATTTCTGGCTCCTACTCCTCCCACCCGCCAGTCGGAAACGTTTCCATAATCGATTTCTGACTATCCCTCAGAAATCCAGGAAGATTAACGAGATCGGGTCATCTTTATGTTTCCGACAGCCGATTCGTCATAATCTTCCTAGTCTAATTAGGTCGCCGCCGACTACAAAAGGCATGTCTGATTAACAGTGCATGTAGCCCGGGTCGCATCTTCAAAAGGGCAGGTGCCAAATGAAATAGTAGACTGCACAGAGAGCCGGCAGAGAGGGAAGCCGACCCGACCGCTCCATTGTGTTTGTTTACAATGGCGGCTTTACTCATTAGAATTCAGCGAGTGACCGCGCAGCCCCGCGTTTACCTCGGCCGGCCCTAATAAAGCAATATGGCCGACGGTGACCCGATATTCTCTAATCCCCTGTCTGACCGCTGACCCTTTCCAATAGTGTCAAGAGTGGCTGTGGTGCATTCCGGCATTGGTTGACCGTCAGGTGGTCACCGTCACAATGAATCGTACTATGGGGAAGCCGCTGTAAAGCGCATCGGTCAGATCGGGTCAGATCGGCCACGATCGCCGAGGAATTCAGCTCGACCATTAAAGACGGCCGACGATGGAGGAACTTGATGAGATGCACTGAAGCTTGCATAACGAATCACTTTGCGCCAACGTTTGCACTTCTGGGCTGGACAGAGCGTCGTAAGAAGTATCAACTACAACTAATCTTTTTGAAAGTGAAACTTCATAGGATGCTTACATTCTTAGCGACTCAAAAATGATCAAAGCTCTGGGACACGCCGCGCATCTGACTTTTGTTCAGAAAATTGAAAGCCTTTGAACAGGGCATGTCGCACGTTTTGGATGGGTCGGATTTGGACGAGGGAGGGAAATGGTTGCATTTCGCCAAGCAAGAAAAATTTCCATTTGTAGATTCCTCTCATTTTCACAAGCATAACACCCTCCTGCCCTCCCGGACGGTGCCCAGATAGCGCTCTGCGACAAAAAATCTGAAATACGACGGAACAAACACAGTTCGCAACGTAATCTTTGCTGTCTCAAAAGCAATATGGTTCCAGCATTAGCGCCAAGGGTAGGAAAGAGCTGAGCAAGTTATACGGGAACTCTTTGAGAAGTCACTCCCTCCCCAAAGCACCGTTATGCAGCTAGCGCGAAAGAAAGTAACAAGGGCGTTGGTAATCATTCGGCAGACCGTTGAAAATTGCATCCACCCCCCCCCCTTCTTCGCATTCGCGTATAATGCAACTGGGTAGAAGCACGAGGGACTTCCAATGGTCAATGAGCTCCGTACCCAGGCTCCTAAGGGTTACTCGGGGTGTTCTTGCGCACTTCTCCAGCTGAAAATAAAAAATTCCACCGAACAACTTTCCTATAATAATGATGTGAGCAGAAATTGCAGTACCTTTCCAGGGATGGGCACGGGCGGAACTAATCAGCCAGCTTAGAAGGGTTTCCTTTACCCTTTCATGTTTCTCCTTTTCTAATTTCAAGAGGCTAAGAGACAATTATTCTGAAAAGAACCAAGGTCGAACCCTGCCTTCATTTGCCAAAGGGTATTGTCCGTTGACCACCTATCGATCTTTACCAAATTTCCCAGAATTTTGCCGTCTAGCTGAGAGGAGGGGTGTAACGCGCGGGAAAAGAGGAAAATCAGCCATCGAAAAAGTTCTTCCAAGGCATATGACCCCTCTTCCCCAACGACCAAATACTACCCGAGATGGATTTCCCAGAGCGATGGTGTACCCTTTCTGGGACACAACGATTTCATAGACATGGTCCAGTTCACGAGTTTTCTTTGGGAATTAAGAAGTAGGGGAGGTAGGGGTAGGCGAAACTGCATTGAAGTGGAGGGGTCCCAGGTCAAGAACCGCACAAGTGTCATCAACTAAGTGGCGCTGGACAACTAGGCCGAGGTCAGAGGTGAGTACTCAATGAGCTATCTTTACGAGCGTTACGATCAGTTTTAAATGGGTGACAGGGTGTGGTAATAAGTGGTAGTTTGGTTGGATAATTGTGATGTGGTTAATGACCGTTCAGCACTCATCGCATTATGCAACGCTCGTCATGATCGGGTCGAGGCGAGCGAGCGAGCGAGCGACGATCGATGGGGGATTGGGAAGGGAGACCTCACATAAGCCATTGTTGGATAATCCCCATCGCGAAAGGTCAGACAACGTGATCGCCAGCGCTTTACAGCAGCGAACTAGCAAAGTCCAAATTGGACAGCGACCCGCTGCGAGCTGGCTGGTGCTGGTCCCTTTTTGTGGCCCTTGAGGCTGTTATGGCGTCTGGTGTTCGTTTCCGCTGGACCAATGTGGTGACCTCTCGTGCTATGAGCGCTCGGCTGAAAAACCGCGCTAAGGTCGTTGCAGTTTTTGCAGGCGAAGCTCGTAAAATCGCGATCAGCAAAGCGTCAGACGAACTTGGCTATACGCCAAGGTCTCCGACGTCCAGCTTCTACTGTTCGCCGCCACAACCACAACCACGAATCCATTCATCGCACTATCGATCGCTATCACATCGCATATCATTGAGATACGACTGTTTACAGAGTGATAACTGCGCGCCACCTGCGCCCACCTGTAGCCCTAACTGTGACAAAGTGCCATCCAATAGAGCCAACAGAAATAGGGATAAAATCTATTTATCTGCTAATTTTCCAATACTTAACACTTTGCACATATGACGACGACGAGATGAAAAATGATCATACAACTACATTTTAGTGACTTGTGAAGACATCACTTGAAGACATTTGGCAACAGCATAGGCCGAATAATAGATCAAAATGAAAGGAGTAAAGGAAAGGAAATGGAAGGGAAAGGAAGAAATTGCAGAAAAAGAAAAGCTAGAACCCGAAGGAGCTTTGGATTCGCTCTTTGGTATCACAGGGAAATAAGGAAAACCAGGCAATAGTTTCCCTTTGGCGACTAGGATGGCCGTGTTCAATCAGACACGAGTCGTTAGACGACCACTTTCGGGCAGTACAATGTCCAATCGTTTTGGCGAGTGCTGAAGGCGTTTCTTACGGACGACCATGTAGTCTGGAATGCAAATGTCATAACGACCGTATTCAAGGGGGCAAAAACAGAAAACGGACATTTATCAAACGTTCAACGCTGATTGGCCAATTTCTCAGGGCCCAAAAACTTACCGGTAACTTTGCCATGACGTTTCTTTGGAGTCGCATGTTCACGCTTGGCAGGCGTAATTGGACTCATGGTGATGTCCATCATCGACGAGTCCGAATCATCGGATGTGCACAGTTCGGCTTGATTTTCCTTTGTCGGCGAGCTCAATGCAGACGAAATGGACGAGATGTGCTTTGTCCTGGAAGAAGGTGAATTAGTTGCCTTGGCCAGAGCAGAAGAAAAACCTCGAGGGGTACGGTAACATACCTGTAGAATTCAGGAACACTGTCTTCCCCGACTGGGGTGAACTCGTACTCAGAAGTTCCAGGAATAGGCATTTCACAGGAAAAGTTAAAGCCCCATTTGGCTTTCTCTCTGGCTCGAATCTCTTCCAGCCGCTCGTTGAGCCATTGCTGAGTGAGGGCCGGATCGGCACGACCGAAAAGGCAACGTCGAGCAGATCGTTTCGTCTTAGCCGATGATGAGGATGAACTCGACGATGACATTCTGAAAACGGAAACACTAAGCATTTTGGCATATTACTCACAAGCTAACGGCGTTGGCCGATGACGATAAAACGGGCACGGAGTATTCAAATGAGACGAAGTCGTTTCAATGCAAATGCTAATGAAAAGCGAAGAATGCGAACGAATCGTGAGAGCGAAACAGGACTGCGAAGCTCAATAAAGAGACCAAAACGAGGAGGATCGAAGGCCGAAATGACGTTCTATGGGATATGGCTGGTCGGCTGGTGGGCCCGACGGACGGCCATATATGCGATCGCAGCCGTCGGGTGGATATTCGAATGGCCGACTCGTAATTGTAGGGAGGGGTCAGCGCAAAGGGTACAAGAGGTCAGATGGTCCACCGAGTCGCGAGTCAACAAATAGGGATTGGATTACCCCGAAACAGAGTAGGTAGACTTTGACCGTAGCGCCAAAGGACACCTCACCCACCAGACAGGAAGGGGCAAATGTCGCGTCCGATGGTGGTCGGCGGCGATGTTTAGTAAACTGATGAGTCAGAGGAAAGAGGCGGAGATGAGACAGCTCATCCTGCGAGGGGCCACTCGGGGCGCAGTACTCTTGCACAGGACCAGCAAGCTGTACCATTGAGGGCTGGGCTGATTCGGGCGGCCGCTGTCAGTTCAATAATGGCGCTTGCTCGACTGCCGTCGTCGTCGCTCGACTCCGCCCCTCACGCCGTTGGCCTGGCAGCGAGCCAGATTCTCACGCAATGGGAACTCCGCCCTCGCTGGCAATTGTCGGAACGCTGTGTGACGTCAGGGTGTTCGTTTGTAATGTGAATTCATAGGATAAATGGAACGCTGACTATTAAATTTCCGGAATGCCCTGAATATCAGAAATCAAATGATAAATGTAAAAAGTTAAGCAAGAAGAGTTCATTAAGGGAAGTTTTCATTTGAAATTCTTTTTGTTAACTTTGGTACTTCAAAAAGGTTCCCAAACGGGAATTTTATGTCTCCAGCCCAAAATATTGATGTAATCGGAAAAATAGGGATTGACGGGATTACGCAATGCGCTGCACTTCTTTTCGGAAAGATGGAAGATAGGAAAAAGGGCGCCCAGGTAAAACTTATAAGGCACCACGAGTGGTTTGAATAGGTGTCTTCTGTCCCTGATAAGGACCCAAAAGCAGCTAAATGTGTTCAATAATACATACTGAATAGAATATGCCACGGCGATGGAAGAAATTACTCATTCGGGGCAATCTCCCCCCCCCCCCCCTTCAGCGAAATCTCACTTTTCTCAGAATTTTCAATCTCTTTCACGTTAATGCAGATCCCTGTCATTGAGCCAATTACGACTCTGCTCAAGGCAACTCAAATACGACCCCCTAGCTGAATATTCCGCTGGAAATGCCTGTCCTGATCTGGTAAGCAATGGATCTTTCGCTGTGGGAACTGCGAACGAGTGAAAATTGCTTTTCTCCAATGATTCAGCTCTCTCCAGATCATCCAAAAACGAACTGTGAATGCTCTGTGTCGATCAGAATCTTCAGAAAGCGCCTTGCCAAAGAAAGTTCCAAAATATTGAATAAGGTAAGGAAATTAGAAGTAAAAAAATACAAAATTCACAGGAAAAAAGCTGTCCTCTTGAACAAAAAAATGCCGACAATCAGCTAGCCTTCAGAAAAAAGAAGCGTTGGTGGGCAGTGACAAATGGCGCCGCTAATCACGGGTACAGTCCGGTGTCAAATCTCGAGCCCCTTGCTTTCTGACCCAATTAATTCTGCATTTCTTAGAGATGATTACTTGATACCAGACGTGCTTGTGAGGGCAAAAACACTGAGTTACACATTGGTCCCCCCTCCCAAGCCATTGCAAAGCCAAACCGCAATCAAAGCTACGAGTTCAAGTGAATGCGTGGCCTATCAAGAAGAGGGATTGATCGACTCCGAAAGTTTCGTCTTCTAGCTTTGATAGAGGAAAGATCATAATGGTTGCATGCGAAAATCCTGTAGGGCCTGCAGGTGCTATACTGCGATATTCACTTTCACAGTAATCCCCTAATGGTCCTTACCTTAACTCAAAATCTCGCAACATCTTCAGATTAGTCAAGAAAATCGTCCGCTGTGCCAGGAACATGGCAATCATATTGTAATTGAACAAAATTGGCGCTTCTAAACTTCAGATGAAAATCTCAAAGTGCCCCCTTGTCTGCGAGGACCTGAATACCTAATTGACGGGAAGATAATTCACACCCACCTATAACTCTTGAGGAAATAAATGAGTTCCGCGATGGGGTGAATAGTTCGAAGTACCGCACTCTTTTTAAATGAACTCTTAGTTCCAGACTACATGAGATGTGCTCAGTACCTGGGCGTAAAGTCTTGACCCGGGCGATTAACCCGCATCTCCGCTTCTCTCCTGCTTCCAGGCCAAGTGTAGTTTAAGCATTTAATTCAAGAAGGTCTGTACGAATTTGCCTTTCGTCCGCCCCAAAAGCTACCACCCAAATAGATGTTTGCTCTATGTTCTACCTCTTCCGTTCTGCTGCCATGTGTGGACGAGCATTGAAACGGACTCGAAGAAACCCTTTCTGCCTTCAGGTCACACTGGTCATCCGTGCTGACTGCAACCAAATAGGACGTCAAAGTTGTCCAGCTCTTGATCTTGTGCGAAACTTCAATAATTCGAGAAGCTGGAGGGGGGTGGATTCTCTTACGTTACATAATATTGGATAATATCTTAGTGCCATTATACTGCCCCTATTTCTTTTCCTTGGATAAATAACACCTGAAAATGAAGACTACTTTTCAAGGCACATTTGCCAGCTGTGATTTGAAGACCCACAATCTGTGCCATATCATAAGTATGAAAAAATTCTCTATTGCGTCATTATGCTGAAAAACCAGAAAATCGACTACCAGTTCACCTTCCTGGTTAAACTTGCCATCTCGTCATTTGAAATGAGTGATGAAGCAATGTAACAGGATGAGATCGAGAGGGAACTGCACATGCGACACTTCATTGAGTCATGAGAAGTGCCTAGCATACTAGTTACCAAACGCGTCTTTCATACCTTGTCACACCATCTCACTCAGTCAACACTTCACACAGCTGCTGCTGACGGGCTTCATGATGAAAAGAGGTTCGCGTCTACGTAACGTCATTCCCTCCCCAGACCTTTGTGTCGAGACTATTCTTTACCTTTATGGATATCCTCGGGCGCCTCGCTGTAAGAGTGTTAAGCTCGCCCCGCGTACGACTCTACAATGAATTCCTAGTTGAGCACAAAACTTTTACTATGCTGAAACTGCAACGACTGAAACCTACGGCCATATTCCCTTAAAGCAGACTTATTCACGTATAGAAAGTAACTAATGTTACTTAGTTGTTAGTTGTGCCTGCTTTAGGATGTTACATTACTCAAGCCACGTTCGCTTCCTGCCCTTCCTGCGTAGCTGAACAGATGACGCGCTTCAACAAAAACTGTGAGTACCATTACTAGAACCCCGTAACTATCCAGCGGTTCATTACAGTTGAAGACGCTCCTCACAATAACCCCTATTTATCTCTGCCCGGCTACGCTAGTTTCGACACCCACACTGTTCCAAAACTTCAAAGTGAGGGTCCGTTGATCTCTCTTTCCAGCCAGAATATGATAATCATGGATGCGACTATGCTGACAGCTTTCCAGACTTTCTGGATCCGCTTCCATCAGTGCATGAGCTGATTTCATCAACTATGACATGAAGGATAAATGACCTCCCCCATCCCCATTAATCCCCTTTCCGGTTGTGCATTCTGCCACTCCAGTCCGCATTCCTAGTGCTCATTCGAATACTGCACGTCTCAGTCTTCGCCATCGCAGCGCTTTCGGCCGTCGCGCGATTTTGACGATCGTCGTGCCATTGCCATCATCGCGTCTAAGTCCGGCGACCGGGCCTCCTGCTGAATCTAATCTATACATAGTGTGACTTGGCGGTACGATGCTCACTATTCTTTTCTGTTTGTTTCTAATTGGGGTAGATGGACAGCCCATATATGAGTCAGTGTTTGTATCCCAGAAGGGGAGTTTGGTACCAATTTAGTGTCCCCAAAGGGTATAAGATGGTTGGCCTGGGCAGGAGAACGGTCTGGAATTGCTCTCTAGAACGGTCGCGTCGCGTCGTAAGCGAGCCCCTACACCCCCCCCCTTCCCCCACCTCCAGCTCGATAAATAAAACGAGAAAACAGCCGATAACCCAAAACAGAGTAATGCTTCGTAGAAAAAAAAACTGTTTTTACCAGATTCACTGTAGCTTACGAAGAGTAATTAGAGTATGCAGGTTCAATGGTATTTTGCTTGTTTCAGCTGGAGTATTAGTGAAAAATACCACTGCCTAAGTGAATGAACTGGCTGGCGAAATGTCCGAATGCTGAGAACTCCCAGCTGTAAGCGCCGCCACTGTTGCTTTCGACATTTTCTCCCAGCCGCCGTTTTCCAGACGCACGGTGGGAGGTCTGTGAGAATGGGATTCTCATCATTGATGTTTAGCACTCGTCTCGGCGAACCGGTCGTTAACCATGTGCAGCCGTCCGCGCCATTTTTCCGGTTCGTGCTGTACTTGTAAACATCGCGACGTGATATCACAAAGACCTTTGCTAGAAACCCGTTTTTTTGGCGCGAAATACTGAAGCTGTCCGCGCTCGAAAATTGAATTTCGCAAGTAGTTTCATTGGAAGTTAACAAGTTGCCGCGGTAGAGGGCAACAAGGAAAATCTACTAGGGAGACGACGAGGAAAAGAACGAAAAAATGCACGAACATCGTAGGATTCTGGGCTAACTCCAGCTCTATTTAGGCCCCTTGATGATTCTTCAAGCTGCGGTTCCTCACGTATAACTGTTAGCCCCCGATCAGTAGTGAAAAATAGCGAAGAACATTTCTGAATGGATGTGTGAGAAGGCAATTGAGCGTGATACCCAGCACTGAAAGGCCACACACAGGCACCATCTTCCACGGCGCGCCAAGTTCCCAGGCCAGAAAAAGCTCGAATCAAATCGAAGAAAAAGCGTACGACTGT